ATACAATATTTAAAATATTTTACCTGTGTATGTGTAGGAAACCTAGCAGTAAAACATAGCCATAGCAGCAAGTTACAGTCATACTGAGAGAAAACATCCAGAGATGTCTGCCCAAGCCAAGTGGAAGTTCTCAGATTTTCTTGTTTTCCTTTTAATATCTGTCCAACATCCATTCTGAATCATTGAACTCTGGTTGCATTTATACTACTGAATTGAACCACGTGCAAGAATATTCCCTGGTGTCAGACCTGCTTAGTAAACCTGCAAGCTCTTACAATCATCTCTAAATGTGGTGAGAGGTCTCAGAAAAGTATTTATCCCTGACAGACAGCACTTTTCATAAACATCTGCTCATGATGTGAAAGTTGACAGTGCTCTAGGGGCCCTGCTGTTTATTCCTACAGATATGGCCATGCTTGCTTTAACATGGTGCTCTGGCAATGTCTTAGTAAGCCTCAGTCTGTGCTCCAGGTTCTGCTGGACATACTAATGTCATGGTATAAAAACACCTTTCTGGCTTTGACCTTGAGTTGAAGAAGGGCATGGTGATAGGAGGATGTCTGCCTTTCTTCTAGCCAAAGAGGGTCTGAAACAAGAGTAAGAATACTTAATCTCCATCTGGGACTCCTTGGGGACCACAGGTGTTCTAAATATCATGTCCTGTTTTCTCAAGACATAGAAAATGACAAAGGTGATGTTCAGAGGAGCACAGAGTTGAAACCTCAGTCATCTGTGGCAAGCGAAAGTCGGTCTCCAGTAGGTCTTCAAATCTGAGGTTGGAAGGAGAGCATCCCAAGTACACAGTCTCCAAGCTTCTCTTTTGATTTTTACTTTGTGTCACTCTTCTCCAGTAGCATTATGCCAAGAACAACCCCCAAGAACAACCCAGCGGCCTTTCTCTCATGTGCTGATGTCCTGCTCAGACCATCCTGCTCAACAATAGAATCTGGCCTGGGGCTTCCTCCAGTATAGGAAAATTGAGGTTTATACCTTAAATTTTCTCATGGGAGAGAGGGACCTGAATGCTGAGAAGACTTAGAGACAGGTGCCTTTTTATGTGAGGCAAGATATTCAGAGGCAGAATGTGCTGTAGCAGACAGGAGGATGGAAGGGGGGAAGTCAGCAGCTCCTCCTCAACAGAGAGTCTCCTATGGCAACAGCAGCAGAGAAAATAGCATCAACCATTGCTTGCCTGCTGGCAAACAGCCCTGGGCCCCACTGGGACCTGTGCTCCCTATCGTGCTTGGCACCCTGATGGCAAGCCCTTTAAAGTGGGTGCAGCTGCCAGCTGAGGTTGACTTTGGCAGTGGCATGTGGAATGTGTGTGGGTTCATGCTACCCCTGAGGCAGGGACTTTCATAGCCTGTCCCTTCTTCATTTGCATGTGGGGCTTCCAGGGCTCTGCCACACTCTGACACCACCACAGACCACATCCTTGGTCATAAAAGGCAGAAACAGATGAAGACATCACAAAATAAGGGGTGCAGCCTGTCTTCACCTGTAGAGAAAAGCCCAGGGAATGCCCACCTGTCATGTGCTGTGCTGAACATCAGCTCCTGGGTGGAGGAGATGCAGGTACAGATCTGCACCTTGAGAAGGACTGTGTGTAAAAGATCTGCCAAGGGGGAGAATCAAGCCAAATAATTTCCAAAAGGTGAAGGCAAAGTGGTTGCAAGGCTTTGATGGTTGGGTGCAGTGATTTATGTGAGCACTGTGGTGAGCTAGCCCTAGCCCTAGCCCTGTACCAAGTGCATCATCGCGGTTGTGCAGCTGAAAAGTGGCCTGCTGCACCCTGAACTGCAGTGATTAGTCACCAATTTCTTGTGTCTCCACTTTTTTACATGGCTCTGCATACAGAGGAAACATAATTTTTGTGGCATAGACAGCTAGAACAGCAGCATTTTATGCTCGCTTTTGCTTATATTTGCCAAGTTCTACTACAGTTTAATTTAAGAGGGCCTGGAAACATCCAACACTGGAATCTCATACGATATGGTAATGATGTAAACCCTATATTGCACATTTAAAAAAGGCAGATTATTCTGTTTCCCTGGCAAGCAGCATATTCTTGGCTAAAACTGAGTGAAGATTAATCGTGAAACCTGTAGTGTAATATAAATGTAGTACTATTAATACAGAGAAAGGTTGTATATGATATTTATGTGCATGTGTACACAAACAGAATGCAAACTTACAGAAAGGATGCCATATTATTTTTAAACATTTGAACTTAATTCAGCAAATCACTGTTAAATTTTCAGCGTTTTGCACCTATGTCATGTTTTTTCTTTCTTGGAGTTGATTTTTGAGTTTTATTTCATTTTTATTTTATTTATTTATTGAGTATTTAATTTCCTCCATCTTGTCTTTTGTTGTTTTGTTTTAGTGAAATAATTTATCCTGCAGTTTTCACTAGTATGTTCTTTGATAGGATTAGGGAAATAAAATGTATACACTTTGAAGTAGCTGCTAAAACATTGTCTCTTGCAAATAAAAGGATAAACTTTCCAACAAATGCTACAAATCCTACAATAGAAGAAATTTTGAATTTCATAATGTAGCATATACCTTTAAGAACAATATCCTGGACAACTCAGTTTCATATTTCAAGCTATGTGCATATCAAATGACAAAAGTAATTATCTTGAACTTCCTACATAAATTAAATAGAATCTTTTGCAATCCATTTGATTAATTACAAATAGTGCCGCTTGCAAATTTTCTTTGCGTGGAATCCATCAATCATTTTTGGATAATCAAGATTTTCATCAGCCTAATTTTTAACAGATGAAGTAGCTACATGTCTTAAATGAGCCTGTTATGTTTCAGAATGGAGATAGATATGTTTTGATCACCTGCTGCCACAACAGCTGTCAGGGTTGCTAGAGATGCTTGGAGCACCTTGCGGCAGGTGCAAAGGTGACTTTTGGGGGCAGCTTTATGAGTATGGTGCTTATTAGCACGGCAAGCTCACCACAAAGTTTATCTGTATCACCATTTAAACCTCATAAGGGCATGCTTGGAAAACATATCTTTTTCTTGGCCCTGAAAAGTGGTGCATAAATTCTAGAAGTGTCAGATTGAGTAAGCTGTCTATGAGCTAAGCAGAGTTGTGTCATCCACAGCAAGAAAGTTTTTGCACCTAGAAATATATTGATGGATAGTCTTTTCCTTTAAATGATACATTTATGTTTCTGCTATATATTCAGACCTGAACTCCTCAAAATACTTTCAAGCCAATCTGAGATTTTATTCTTTTGAGGCTTCCACAGCACTGGCCACCCTGACTTTGTTTTATTTCTGTGGGGAGGAAGGTGAGAAGATTTATTCCACATATGCTGCCCAGAATGTTGAAAATTTCTAAACAAAAATAACACATTAAAAAATGAAATTCAAAGTTTTGGCTCTGACTGGAGTAGTTCATCCTGCTCTTTGTACTTTTTTTTTTTTTTTTAAATTGTGAAAGTTCTAAACAGTAAAACAGAGGAGTTACGTGATGTGGTTAATGCCAGAGTCTTGTGGTTATGAATCATTTTAGTAGCTTTAAAAAATTGATATAATCTATCCTGAGCTGCTTGTCAATTGTGTTAATAACTCAGCAGAACTGGATCCTGGCGAGAAATATGAATGGTGGAGGAATGGAGAGAGGAAATGGTGACAGCTGACAGAATGGTAGCAAGTTTGTACTAAAACTTCACACTTGCTTTCTCCTGCTGTTCTGGAGTGATAGACATGTAATGTCACATAAACACCCAAGCAGCAGTGCAGCTATCAGTGCTTCTCCCTTCCTGTGGATTCTTTCTTTGGAGATTCTTTTTCCTCAAAATAAGAACCAGCTGGAAAAAAGGAGAAATAAACTGTTGAGTTTTTGAGAATCTAGGTGGATTATTCAGATACATCTCAGGTATTTGTCTTTTTTTTTAAAATATTAGGTATTTAATTAACATGCACTTTGGAATAATCTCCTTAATGCTACTTTCTCTTGAGCATCTTCGTTCTGTGATGCTTTTGTCTGTCATATTCACATTTTCCTACAAGAGTAGGAATTTTGTTCTGTAACAATTAAGAAAACACTTGTATAATATTTAATTTATTATTATATTATTTAATAAAACTAGACTGCAGGCAAGTTGCCAATGCAAATGTGGTGTTGATATTTCCCATTAATCTGTCTATTTCCAGATTATCATGACTATATTACTTTTAATAGAAAGTAATTTTTTTTTTATTTTTTATTTTTTTTTTGGTGGGGGGTGTCACGGGGAGGGTGATTTTTTTGTTGTATTTTTGAGATTCAGTTTTATCATCATCCTAATTTCCGAATCTGCTTAACTGAGTGGAATGTCCTGAGTTTATTCTCCAGAGCTGAATGCATCATGGAAACCTGTACTGGCGTCAGAAAACCAGCAAGTGGCATTAACTGCATTGGAAGAGACTGGGAAAGGGTGAGCGAAGAGCCAGCAGCTCTGGCAGCTGGAAATGGGCATCCCACAAGAGCACACAGGTTGTGAGTAGTGGTGCAACAGCAGTTTGATAATACCTGTGGATGCAACCCCCTTCTATGGCAAATTTGAAGTTACCCTTCAAATAAAAGCCACCAGGGGTCAAAATTTAGATGTCTCAATATTAAGGCTTGAAGAAATTATTATTTTTTTGTTTTCTAAGGGAATGTCTCTCTACATATATGTATTTTTCAGATGATAAAACAGTGATTTTGAGAATAACTGTAAAACCAAAATAAAATAATGAAGTGTGGCTACCATGTAACCCCATACATTTCTCGTCCTTCCTTTTTCTGTCCTCAAAAGGAACTTCTTTACAAATGTTGTTAAAAAAGGTGCCACAGAGTGGCAGTCTCTGTTTTTGTGCAGGAAATGTTTCTTCCTTTCTCCCTTTTATTCCCAGACTGAGTGTATGTTAAATTTTGCTTTTCTTACTTTCTAGTGCTCTTTATCTTTTGAGTTTGGATTGCATTTTTATCATCCTTTTGTATCTTTCAGGTTCTAGAATCCATGCTGCCACTCTGAATTTCAAGCTGGATAGTTTTGATTCATGTATGTGTATTTTTGTCTTCTGAAGTTTTGTTTTGAGTCAAAGTTCAGTTATAACTGAAAGAAGGGTTTGCTTTTTTTAAAAAAATGCTCTATAGCCCATATTTAACTATAGGTTCTGGCTTGCTTTTAAATCTTTATTCATGACTCATTCAAATGCTTATTTTACTAGTAACTTCTTTCTGCTTAACCAGGCTTTCTGTCATCAATCATACTGCCTGTTCAGCCAGAAGAGAAAAATGCAAAGAATGATAATATTACAGTAGCACTGATGTGCATTTCCAGAGCTTTAATAGGATAAGTGTCAGCACTGATGCACTTCAACATCATCCATTGCAATAATACTGAGAAGAGGAAGAAGACAGCGAAGCTGGTTGACATTTAAGTATATATCTTATGCATGATCAAATTAGCATTTGCTCCCAATTGAAGGCAGGAGTATATAAAGGAGAGGATTATGCAAAGTGAGGATTACTACTCTAAACACAGCACTTACTAATGTAAAGCTATGAATGGAGGACTACCTTTCTGTGAGAAAGGACAGAAAGGCTGATGCAGACATGAGAATTCACTGTGTAGCTTTCTAGCTGACTAACTTACCATTTGGAAGGAGAAATGGGGAGGGAAAAATAAATGCTTAAAGCATCTCAGTGAAGCAACTCGATTACAACTCATCTCAAATTCTCATCTCCTTGGTTTTGCTGACTACTTTTATTTTTAAATATACCGACTTATTTCAAGCATATCCTGACTCTACCTGCTATGCAACTTGGTTGTTGTGATTAGTGATCAATACTGAGGAACTTGAGACCAAATTCCATCTCTTCACCAGCTTCAGTGTTATGTGAATAACATAATTTATCACTTCTGCATAGCTCCTTTCAAAGACCTCGGGATTTATCAGGATTTCACTGTCTCCACTGTAGCTCACTTTCTGTAAGTAATTCTAAAAGCATATAAAAAAGTATAATGAGGCAATGAATAGCAAATTGTAAAGCACTGGAAATTAGATCAGTTAGGCAATTTACAATAATTTGTGTGATGTGAAGGGCAGTGTTTGATCTGGGAGTGTCAGAGGGGTGGCCTCTCAGTTTGGCTGTTAAAGCCAAGAATGATGGAGATTGGGGGGGCTCCAGAAGTTAGACAGAATAAGGCAAATGTCTGGGCTCTCTCTGTGGTGGTAATGACAGATTGGTGAGTTCAGATGTTAATTCTCCTCTTTATCTGAAGCACCTACTTTTGAGAGGGCTGGACTGCCTGCTGAAAGTACCCATCTCTTCAAGATAAGTGGCTTAAACTACACAGATATCTTTTGGGTGGCCACGGCAGCAGTGAGTGACTTTGTGACGAACGGGAAGTTTAAACAGTGGAAAAACAGGGAGAGATAACACCAACCACAGAGTGATTCACTACAGCTGAATGGAAAAAAGGTTTTTTAACCTTCTCTAATCTTTTTTAAAAAACAGTCTGTTAAATGTTATGCACTGGTGATCTTTTTCACAGTGTGCTTTCTGTCCAGTAGATTACTTGACATATTTGGTTTGCGGTAGCTCCGCTGGTATGAAGGATATTCTCTATTCTGGGTGGGGTTTTTGTGGTGGCTGTGAGGGATAATGAAACATAAACTGTTCTGAGGCCAACTCAGCTCATGGTGAAGAACCTTACAGCCCTTCTTTAGAACCAAGATGTTGGAAGCATAGAAACCATCCAGGCAAGTTTGAGAATGCCACTTGGTACTTAGGCTACGGAAGAAACACATTTGAAATTTTGACATAATTATGTCAAAAAGGCTTCTGGTGGTGTCACATTTTGAGTCATCTAACGTAAATGATTATGGTATCAAACATACAAAACAGTAATTGGAAAACATTTCTGAGTGACTTAATAAGCTATAAAGTTTCAGAATGTGGTGCTCTCCATGTTGTGATAGCTATTGTCTATGCACATACAACATTCTGCACAATAAAACTAGTGTGACACTTAGCATGACAATGCTGAGGATTTTTTAAAATTTGTGACATTGCAGGAAAAACTACTTAAAAAAACAGAAGTCTAGTCAAAATAAAGAAATATTTATGTGGTTGGGTTCCCAGTTCCTACATTGCTTGTCACCTTTTTAATCAAAAAACAAGTGTCATTAGAGTCTTAAAAGAAAGGCAGCTGCATGCTGGACTACAGATAAATTCAGAAATCTTACACACACCCTGCTGCAGGTTTGCTGCAGGGCAACAAGATATTTCTTCACCTATGAAATTAGTGTGCAATATGATCTTGTGCTAACTTTCATCATCAGCAGTGGATCAGACTGTTAGCACCACTTCTGCCTTACTTCCAGCAGAGTTTATACTGATAGAAATGAAATGCTTTAAAATACAGCTGTGAACTTCTAATTTACATCAATATTACCAAACTGCTCACGTTTTCCTTAGAAAAACTGTGAGGACCTCTTGCCTTTTCCAGTCTCAGGGCACGAATATTGTAACAAATAGCCCCAAAAATTTTGACATCTCTTGTGGTCACCACTGCGTGTTGTTTCAATGCACAGTCACCTGGGGCTGATGCAAATCCTCTTTTGCTTGGCACATGAAGATTATATCAGTCCAAAGCAAGAGGCTCACCTGCAGAATGTGCATTTGGAGGTGATTGTTGATGTGGTCTGGTGGCATAATCTAGACCATTTTAGGATGTCTAAGAATGCTGCCAGGGATGCGCAGCAGTTCCATTCTTCCTGACTGCTGTCACTTCTTTCCCTGTAATAAGAAAACAATCAACCATCACTGCCACAAGTAAGTCCATAGCTGCAGGCTTCTGCATATGAAAACATGAAGCTAAAGCCAAAGACTGACAGGGTTACTTGGTGAAACTCTGGCTTTTTAGTTCCCACTGAGAATTTAATGCTAGATAGTTCTCTGTAGCTCTCAGAAAGTTCTGAAATAATTCTTTTTTCGTGAGGAAAATTGGGATTTTGTTCTTGCCAGCAGACTGTATCAATGTCTTAGTGATATAAGCGCTGTTAGTAGTTTGTGCCATTTAGTCTCTGCTGGCAGCAGCGCTCTTATCATGCAGACCTGCTGATCACTTCCTTCCTGCAGAGGACATGAGGTCCAACACACCCAGCTTGCACCTGTGTTTTAGACATAGAGAGAAACAGTCTTGCAAAATGTCTGCCTTCCCTGAACATTCAGTGGGGAGTGGTTGGTGTACTAGCACACCATGGGTAAAGCTTCTCCAAGCTCAGTTACAGGCACCAGGCAATTAATTTATTGACATCTCCCTCCTTCCTCTTACTTCTTTCCAGATAAATGTATCATTTCTGAAACACACCGTCTTCATATGTAGAGAATCTTTGGTGGCTCCTGGCATTTCCATGGAAGGGAAGTGGAGCCTAAACATTAGACAGGAAAAAGTAGGTGTGTCAGAACAGGACATGGGTCATTCCTTGTCCCTTCTTCCCATTGCTGGAACAGAACAATCATGCAGCAAGAGCTGCTTGGCCCTTGGTTCATAGTGAGCCAGTCTGGAGCTGTGCAAGGCAGAGCACTGTGATAGCAGGACTGCACATATCCATACCTAATAGTGTTAGTCCTCCTCAATATCATTTGGAAACAAACTACTCTCGTAATGGAGTTACACAACACAAGAGAGTTTGGCAAGAGAAGAGGGGGAGTTCTCTACAGCTCTGATAGATGGTGATAAGTGAAATTAATACAGTAAAGAAGTCTGCACTGTTAATTCCTTTAAGAATCCTGGAAATTATTTTTCTGTGCATTTTTACGGTGCCCACTGGTTTATCTGAGGACATGTAGTAGCAGAGCCCCTTTAAGAGCAATAAATCAGAGAGACAGGATGTTTTCATGGTATTGTGGTGTGGTACACTTACTCTTCAGTTTGGAGGTTAATGAGTTCTTTCCTCTGAAAGCTAATACAGATTTCATAAGGCATTCCCCAGAGCAGCTAACATGGCAGTTTAATGATTGTCAAACTGGGGGCTTGCATCATTGTCAGGTCTATTTGAGATATTCTGCCAGTGCCTCTTCTAAACCTTTGCAGAAAGGGTTTCTCAGGCTCCCACATGGATTAAGAGTATATTTCAACTCCTTGAAGTCTTATCATAATTTTTTATATGCATTCACATATTTTTCTGACTGGCTAGAATCCATCTCATTTAATTCTCTGAAAGTGTGTTTTGTGGGTTCTGCTAGCTGCTTATACACCCATATACCCACTGCCCTTCCTCCCAGGAACATGTGCCCAGCTATGTTCCACTGGCCAGCTGGCAGCATCTCGTGAAATGCTCCTACTGCAAGGATATTTCTCACTAGAAAACAAAGGCAGGGGCTTACCCTTAGCAGGAAGGAATGGGGGATGTTTTCTTCTGGTTTTACAGGAAGAGCTGATGATCCAAAACTTGCTGGATTGCAGCCATGTGTAGATTTTATAGATGGGAAGCCCTGTGGACCCTCTTCTAGCTTACAAACTCAGCAAAACACTCCAAGCTCTAGCTTACCTAGCTGTGTGCCAGAAGGGTGTTTATAAATTCCAAGGATCGTGGCTTTGCAGCCTGGTGACTGGCATAACCAGTAGCTATTGAGTGCTTGAATCAGACCACCTCCTTACTCATCCCTGGCTCCTCAGGTTGTTTCTGCACCACAATCCCCCAGAGTCAGAGGCACCCCAGGCACAGGACTGTGCTCCACATCTGGAATACAGAGTGATGCTGCTGGGGAGGAAATGCCTCCTTGCCACCTGAGCTGTAGCCCTATCTGATGGATGCTCAGGGAAACGTCAGCACATGGAGACTCTTCAGTGTCTGTTTCCTGCAGACTTCTTTACTGGATTAATTTCACTTAACCTGCTGGCTGCTTTGATCAGATCCCTGCTGGCTCATGAGGTGTGGGTGTGCAGGAACAAAGGTGAGCTGACAGCTTTCTCCCAGGAGCAATTTCATGAGGAGCTCACCACTGCAGAAGTAGGTGTAGAGGATGTATTGCTTTCCTATTAGATTATTATTCTGTCTGATCAGACAAGATCTGATTAAAAAGATTTTATTCTGTCTGATAATGAGAGGAGAGCATTCCTTTTTAATTGAATTCCTTTTCAAGCTCCGTGAGCGCTAGTAGGAGAAAAATTCTAGAAGAAAACTAATGGAATTTGTTATCTATATGCTTAATAATAGACATATTCTGATTTCAGAGGTGATTTCAGAGGGCAATTCCATTCCTGCAAGGGCAATCCATGGTTTTGGTCTACCAAGGCTCTCCTAAAAATGACTTTCATATGTCCCTTGCATTTCATCTTTCAACCACCTCTATTTGCCAGATAGCAATTGTTGTCTATTTTTGATCCCTCAGATTTTGTTAGCATACTTCAGAGACACATTTTAAACTGCCTCTTTTCTCCTTTTTTTCCTTTTTATCTATTTCTCTCTTGCTCTCTCTTAACTTTGTTATTTTAAATAATAAACAAGTAGATAGTTATGAGTTACACAATTCCTTCTTTCCCATTCTCCCTTGTACTGTTTTATCTTGACTTTTAATGAACTAACTTTGGCAACTGAACTGTTTCTCTTTTGTAAAACCTAAGATTTCATTTTTGTTGTCTCAATTTTGCAGACGTCTTTGTTTCTTCCTCTATGTGATTCTAATCTTGCCCTAATGTTTCACATGCAGATACTGCTGTTGTGAGATTATTTTGTTATTCTCATTCTCATATTTATACAGGGGAATCCACCATCAAGGCTGTTCAGGTATTTCAACAAAAAGCCCCTGCTTTGACACAAAGATTGTCTTGTGAGTCAGAGGGCTGTGTCCACTCCATGTATACGATATGGCTCTTAGAACAAAGCTTTTGAGTTGAGATGGTTGCATGGTGGGAACCTTCTTAAACTGCAGATGACACATCTGTGGTCAGACACCTGTTTGAGCAAGAGCTTTTGTTAACCAAATAAGCTCTAAAGCTGTATAAATCTGGAAAGGGAATGAAATCACACTGTAACTTTGGTTTAAGGCAATGGTTCTCAAACTTTATACTCTCCAGCTTCCTCCTGCCAGAACTTGGCTGGCAACAAATCAAATAAGTCAAGCATTAGGGTAATCAGTAACAGACTAGCTCAAGTCTAGAAACCTGGAAAAGTTACACTGAACCTTCTGATTCTCAGTAAGTTAGTTTTCCTACCCACAAACAAAAAAAACAGTATTTCACCAAACAGATGAGAAGGAAAGGAAAACAGACAATGAGGAGATGAAGAATGTGCCCTATGATACCAAACCACTCAACTTTAAAGGGGGTAAGAAGTATTTACAAAGGGGTCTTCATTCAGGTATTCTGAAGAACCACATGCTAAATTCATGTTTTCAGCTGGGATACTGAAACTTTCAGGAGGAAAGTTATTTTCCTTCTTAGTAGCTAATGCAGTACTGAGTTTTGAATTTGGGATGAAAATAATATTGATAACACACTGATATTTTGGCTGTTGATGAGCAGTGCTTACCCTAAGTCAAGGATTTCTCAGTGTCTCACTCTGCCAGGTGCACAAGGAGCTGGGAGGGAGCATGGCCAGGACAGCTGGCCTGAAATGGCTAAAGGGACATTCCACAGCATAGACTGCCATACTCAGTATGTAGATAAACAGGAGAGAATTGGCTGGAAGCCCTCTGATTGCTGCTGGGGGACAGGCTGGGCACTGATCAGCAGGTGGTGAGCAATTGTGTTGTGCATTGCTTGTTTTCCTTGGGTTTTATTTCTCTCTCTCCCTCTCTCTCTCCTTTTCATCAACATTATTATTTTTATAATCATAATTAGTATTATTAGTACCATTATTATATTTTACTTCATTTTAATTATTAAACTGTGTTTATCCCAACCCACAAGTCTTGCCTTTTTTCTAATTCAGCTCCTCATCCCACGGATAGGGAAGGGGAGGAAGGTGAGTAAGTGGCTTGGTTGCCAGCTGGGGCTACACCACACACACACAGTAAGTCATTAGATGTGATCATCTGCTATAAAGCAAAAGGTGGAACACAGGCATATTTTGTTCATCAGACTAAAATTTTAAGAACTCTTAACTAATCCAGTTGCAACTTCTGATGATGTTATGCCTCTCAGGGACTTAGAGGGTAAAATGTCAAGGGAAGGGGGAAATTTGAGGCTAAAAGGACAGGCAGTTTTCATGTGGCATTTGTCTGAAAATTTATTTCTCCTTTGAAAGGTTCTATGGGCTAGGGGGAAAGAAAAGTGCCTTTTTACAGGGAGGAACGTTTTTAGGGTAACTGTAGAAGGTAGCAGTAGGGCTAAAGCAGAGAAGTTCCTGGTGAGTTATGTATGCTGCACAGCCTCGTTTATGGGACAGGCACCACCAGCCTGTGCCCTGGCATTTTGTGTTTTCACAGCAGAGTGAAAGGACAGTGAGAGAGACACCAGGAGCAGGAGATGAGTCCATGAGTCATCTTGGTGTTCCTCGTTGTGGAAAAACCTCTTTCCAAATTTGTTTCCCCATTTCCTCCATCCAGGATAGGTGGGCAGTCACCTGCTTAGGTTAAGTTTTGGAAAGGTGGCTGGAATGATAATGCCAATGGAAGCACAAAATGTGGAGCTTGTGAAAATTTCCCTTTTCTTCCAGCTTTTTTCCAGTAGGAAGTCTTGTCACCTGCTGGTTTCCATATTGCAACATTTCAGAAGGGGTTTCCACAGATAGAAGATATGAAAATGAGAGGGAGAATTGCTACTAAAAGTGGACTTATTAGAAAATGAGACTGAAGGATGTTTAAAAATTTTTGTCTTTGAGTAAACTGTGGTGGTGTGTTAATGTAAGATGCATCACTGGATTTGATAGTTCTGCCAAGCAGTGTAAGGAAATAAAGCGGCATGTATTTTATGCTATATTTTGATATAATAGAAAGGTTCTTCCTTTTCATAGTGTTTTTTAGAATATTGAGACAGTTGCTCAACAGATTTATTTCCATGGAGTTTTAGAGCTTACAAGGTGTTTTATGCAGCAGTACTGTATCTCAGAAAGCACAGATCAGCCTTTCCAAATATTTGTGAGAAGTCATGAATGAAAGAATCATCACGCAAGTCAATGTCTTCTAGTCTATCTTCTGCAGCCTTCTTTTCTCTGACACATTTGTTGCCTCTGTCCTTGCCTGCCAGGACATAAAAGCAGACAGCTGTTGCTAGCACTCCCCTCTTTCTAGGACTAAGGCAATGAGAATCCCCGTTACATCTTTCCTTGTCAGAAAGAAAATTACTTCATCTGGAGCCCAGATTTCCCCTCTTCTTTTGAGTGCAAGTCTGCTTGTGCATTTCTACATGTACCTTGGTGCTCCTGCGTGGTTTTCCATAAATGATTGTACACATCTCCTTGAAGCAGTAGAGCTCCTGCAGGCAGGGATTCTATCTGTCCCAAGAGAGTCAGAACAGAAGAGAGCAACTCTTTCATCATGTACAAGATCAACATCCTCTTCCGGAGTGATGACTCTTGTCCTCTGATTGTCAATCTTATCAGAAAATTGTTGGTTGATGAGCAAGATGTTTCTGCACAATTTGTGTGACATCCTTTGTGTGACAACACATGGTCTTGACTTACCATGAATTTAATATGTGGGTCCTCATTGACAGCTGAACACAGTGTTGCAAAGAAGGCATGAAGAAATTGTAGAGGGTTTTTTTTGGCTAGTCTTTTGTAGCTTTGATATTTTTTGAAGTTATTTTTTCCATGATTTCTCATGTCTTAGTTTTGTCTGGTATTTATTCTCTGTGCAACAATCATTGCAACAAATGCTGCCCCCTGTAAATTTTTTGCAATGTTTCCACCCATGTGCTTATGGATAAAGCAATTTTCAGTCTCTTTCATAATTTCACCCATAATTTCACTGTAGTTCTGCTCTGTATGCCAAATAGCTACTCTGTGGTGGCACACAATGCCCCAAACTAGAATGTATGTGATAAGAGGCAAGGACTGTAGAGTGGATTCATGTTCAGGGTTGACACAGGAAAAAAAAAAAAAAAAAAAAAAAAAAAAAAAAAAAAAAAAAAAGAGAGACAGATAGTTCTGACAGTATCTGTTAGGGTTAAGAGTGTCATGGTTTGAGTGAAGAAGAAGACAAAAAAAAAGGAGTGGAAGTGTTCCTTTGTTTCCTCCTAATGCATCTAATCCTTCTGCTTGTTTGCATAAGGGCACGTCAATCTGACAACAGCATCAATATGAATTTTCTCTGTAGCAGGCACAAGGAAGAGATGGAACAGAAGGAAGATATGGATTAAAACCAGATATGTCACTTGTGCATCACCCTCTGCACTGTTGAAAAGGATATGCTCAGGTAAGGTGGGAACAGGCCACCTGTAGCAGCAGGGCAGCTGCGGCAGCAGTGAGCACACTCATTTGTATGGTGAGAACCACATGTAGCTTTCCATCAAACTAACTTAGGAAGTCAGGGATACAAGTGGGATTTTGGTTTTGGTCTCCTTGCCTGCTCTGTTCATGCAGAACTTCATGAAGAGAACAAAACTGGAAGATATTTGATATTATTTGCTCCAGAACGTTTGAGGATGTTCCCAGTCTTCGTTGGATAACATTAAAAATTAATGGGGTGACTAAATAGTTTACAATTTTACATGATCTTTTGATGTGAAAGCAATTATTAATGTCTATAATTATCTCCAGAATTACTTGGGTTCTGCAAATGGCATTCAAATCAACATTTTTAACTGTTTTCCAGAGGGTGTCATTCTATAATTCATAGTAAGGAATGGTACCCTACAATCTGAGCTCACTATTATTGTCCTTTCAGAATTTATTTCTTAGCCCATCCTTCTGAAGACTGATCATTTTTTATTTTAACCAGTTTTTAAAGTGCTTTTAAAGCTCTCAGCTGGGGACTGGGTATTGAATAGAGCTTATCTCCATCACTTTAATGTGAGTCTTAGATGTAACAGCACTGAGATCAATGCTTAATCCATTATCCTCTGAATTAGGAGGACCATCTCACGATCTACACCTCTGCTCTCCCATTGTCTGCCTGCATAGCCTACATACAGTGCCCACAGCCACTGTGGGGCAGAGTGGGAAAGAGAGAAAGCCTTGATGCTGTGCAAGTTCAGTGCATCCCACCCAGAACTGCTGCTGCCCCGTGGCACCCAGGCAGGGCAAGTAGAACAGTCCCAGTGACAGCCAGCAGCCAGTGGCTACCAGACAGCTGTGATGGGCAACAGAGCCTCAGCATCACACCAGAAAGTCAACTCAGTGTGTCTGGGTTATTTCAGCAAGGTAAAAAATGTCATGCAGCATGAAAGCAATGCTGTCATGACATGATTGGCTCACATGGCTGAGGACATGCATGTAATTTCCCTTTTTCTCCCCTAGACTTGCACAACATTATGGTAGCCTGATCATCAGCAGACTCACAAGCAGGGTCAGAAGACTCTGATCTTTACCAGGTAGGTCACCTTGGAAACATTGGTCAGTGAGAATAGGCAGTGATACAAGGCATTTCTTCAAGGAACAGATATTTTATTTAGCCCCAGGAGTACAGTAAGGGAAAAACAGTGTACTTGTTGCACCACCTCCAGCTTTGTCAGTTTTTCTAAAGACTTTGGAAAATCCAACTTTAAAATCTGTCCTTTTGCACTTCATCTCTACAATACTGAGCTCTGGCTCTAGCTGAAAATCATGGACTGATCAATCTACTGTTTGAATAGGAGTGGACATGGTAATTCTAGAGGAGGCCATCAGATGAGGATTTTCAGATTTCGAGTCTTGCTGCTGTATCCCTGACACCTTACATTTTTTAAAAGAGACAGAAAGATTCCTGAAACCATCAAGAGTTTTCAACCAAGTTTTTTAATAGAAATGTCAAGGCAAAATCATCTATTCAGGATTGACAGAGTAAGTGTAAGTCCTTTCATTAAAAGAAATGCCATCAATCTGAGGTATTAGCAGCATTACTTTATAAGTGTACTTTATTATCCTCCCAAATAAAGCTTTAATCAGTTTGAATCTAGGGATCATAGCACTTTCTGTAGCAAAGATTGCCAGACTAAAATTTATGGGAACTTAAAGGGCTGTGAGGGAGGAAGTGTAGCCTTGTGTGACTCCTAGGAGTCTGGGGTGGGAGAAATCTGGCCCCAAGCTGCTGGGATTCAGCAAATGACAATGGGGCCTTCAACAGAAGGGTTACAGACTTTATGCACTGAGCAGAGCAGGAAGAATGAATCATTAAAATAACTTTTAAATCATGAAGATAAAACAGAGATTACCAAAACGGATGTGATTCCCAAAGAATATAATCTATCTAATGGAGAAAAGATATACATCAAAACAAGTTTGTATACAAGCATCTGCTGAACTGATTAAGCACTGTTCAGTAACTTTAGTCTAGTTTTGTTTTATTACATGCATAAATGGAAAAAATATGGCATCTGATAATAAATCAACAGAGAACTGAAAGTGACCAAACATCAAAGGTTTTTGAAGGCTCATAAAATATTTCCCTGTCCTGGAGAGGGTCTGATCCTTCCCCTTGACTGAATTCCAGGTCCAGTTATGGAAGCGCAGCAGCACTTTTGGCTACAATGGGTCTAAGAGATAACAAAAACAGATCCAGTCCTTATGGGAGAGTGACATAAGGCAGAAATTTTGAATCCTGTTCAGCTCTCATTCACTCTAAATATATAATTATCACAATTTAGAGCTCCTTGTGCCTTTGGCATGACACAAGTAAAGGTGAAGTTGTGATAATGATTAGTTTTCATATAATTTAATTTAATATATACTTTATATAAATTATACAAAAGGAGATTGGACCAGATGACCCACTGTGGTCTCTTCCAATCTGACCCATTCTGTGATCCTGTGAATACTTCTCATTTGAATAGAGCTTATGTCCTTGCTGTCTAAATTCACTAGTACAAATATCCTGTAAAGGAATTTCTTTCTTCCATCTCTTCCCTTCAGTGTCACAATTGTCAGAAGACGTTAGACCTTCAGAGAAGACAACTTATTGGCCACAGTGGGTTGTGGTTACTGAGACACTTTGAAGAAAAAAAATACAAAGGAATGCATACCTGTGCTGTAATTACTGGAGAAGAACATAAGGAAAATATTAATGAAGCTTCAGGGCATGACTCTTAGGTCAAGACTAGAGTAAGACTCAAGTATGTCTTCTTTCTAGAGAGAAGATAAAAAAAGAGTAGCTTGTGAAAAAGGAATTTAGTGGCCTGCAAAAGCCAAACAATGCTGTAGACCTATAGAGACATGCCATGAACTCACCAGTCTTCCTAGCTCTGGAAAATCACAACACAGTTTTGTTTTTCTAAACAGCCAGTATTGACACGCTGCAGCTGGACTTCCTGGTAGTTCACGGTTCAGTGGGCTATTCCTGCTATGAAGCACAACATATCCAGGCAGCACATTGTTGTTAAGGCTAAAAAAACCTCATTGTATAGGAGTAGTTTATGGTCTTTATCAAGGTCATAGTTTTGGATATAATATACTCTGAATATATGATGAGGCACGAAGCAGACTAACGTTACCAAGATGAAGAAGAAGCTCTTCGCCTGAGCCCTGAATTCCACATGGGAGTTAATGTCAGGCCAGTATTTCACAGCTACTCTGTAGATCACAGTCAGCTGGATTCCGGTGAGCACGGCACACACAGCCACCAGAACCCCAACCAGGCAGTAGTTTGCGATCACCATGTGAGCCTCCTGCAGCTCCGTGTGGAACTGGAAGCACTCGGAGGAGCGGTACGTCTTCGAGGTGCCGTAGTAGGAGAGGAGAACGGGCGTGATGACCAGCGCTCCCAGCAGCCAGACAGCCCCCGCCCAGGCCGCCGTGTAGCACTTCCGAAACTCCAGCCGGAGGAGGCGGGCGATGATGATGGCCACGTAAAAGGCGAAGGTGGCGTACATGTGCAGGTAGATGATGGCGCTCGCCAGCCTACACGCAAACCTCCCGAATTTCCACACCCCCGAGATGTAGTAGCTGAGGCGGAAGGGGATGCTGAGGAGCATGAAGCTGTGCAGCACCAGGAGGCTGGTGATCGTAATGGTCATCACGGACTGGGATCTCCTTTGAAGCAACAGCTGGGCCATCATGATGACCCCCAGGGTGCCACCAGCCAGGTTGATGATGTACAGGACAATCAGAACAGTGTGGAGCTTCTCTGAAGAGTCCAGCACTGTGTCATTGGAGGAATGGTTCTGTTGGGTTATGCAGCTGTTAAGCATCCTCATATGCTCCTCTTTTAAAGGTTACTGAAAAGGAAAAATGGGAGTGAAACATTTTCTTTGGTATTTCCTTCATTGTTAACTGGAATATAACAGATTCCTAAAGAGACACTACTGAATTGCATCTGAAATTATGTTATCCCATGTATTTTACAGCCTTATAACTGTTGTGATCCTGCATATTACAGCAATAGCCCATGCCTCTCAGGGTTGAAACTACATTTTGCATAATTATGAATGAGATTTTGATTGACTAAACTTCATTCTAGGATTTTTTTCAATTATTTGCCTCTAGATATAGCCATTTGTAATAACGAAGACACTGTTTGTGCATATTTTATCTGCATTCATATTATAAAGCTAAAACTGAAGGTGGGAAAATACTGAAATATGAAGATGTACCTATCATGTGTGGATACTCCATGATGACACCCGATCCATCTTTTTAACATCTTGCTGGATGGGTGCAAAATACACATAAGGTCGCAACAGTTTGTTTCTAGATACTTGAAGAAAATTGAAAGTAAAAGTTTGCAGAGGAAAATTCAATCATTTCTTGCTTCATCTGCAAGTATTTTTGTTACAGAATTTCACCTGAACTGATCTATTATGAAAAGTGATGAAAAGATATAAATTATTTAGGAACGATCTTCTGAGAGGTATAATTCATTTGGCACTTGTTACATAGCCATATACAGCTGCATTCTTATTTAGACAACTCAAAATGCAGACTTGTATAAAGATTTCTGTACAAATATATGGGGACAGCTCACAGGGTAGATAGATGCTTTGCTAATGAAATTTATCCTTACCTTAGAAAGAGTTTTGAAAGGACAAACTAAGAGCTGAAAAATCATCTCTTAAAAAAGCAGTGCCTTTTCTGTCTGATTTGAAGTTTGAAATCAGTAAATTTGTAAACAATTGAAAACTTGTAAACTTGAAATCAGTAAACTTGTTTTAGCCGTCAATTATTAGTTCTTTGTACTCATCTGTAAAGTGATAGACTGCACGCAACTGTAAAACATTTTCAGAGAAACTTCTTATTTATGAAGCATCAGACGAAACATCTTTAGAAAGACAAGATCGGTATAAACCTTTCTGTTCACCTCCTTTTAAAATTCTTTTAAACATTTTAAATAGCATTCTTTAAAGCATTTAAACGTTTAAAATTTTTTACCTGCCTAATATTCCCAAGAAAAGCACAAGAAATTTCCAAGAAACTTTGTTACATGAAAAGTTTTACCAACTAATTAATTTTCCGACGTATATTGTTAATATTTCAAATTTGGAAAATGTACAACTTTTAGTTCTAGACAGCATAATTACAGCTTAATGGCAACATTTTATATCCCTTTGAAATAGATTATGATTTTTTTTCTATTTATGGCAATGAAATATTTGAATTTTACCTTACAATCTCTTCTTTTTGTGACTTCACCCTGAAATATGTCATTCCATGCAGCTGTAGCATGTGGCATACATAAGCAGAGTGGAAAAAACAGCCTTTGACCTGTTTGACCAAGAAGACCTAGGGTTTTCTCAGCCCACACACAGGAAGGAACAAGCCTTGCTTTTGCTTCACTGCGATAGCAATCTCATATGTGCGAAGTCGAATGCTCTTTTCATCATGCAGGGAGAGCCACAGAGAAGTTGCTGAGCTGCCAGAGACCATCATTGTGCTGGGACATGTAGAACACATCAGGTCAGGACTGCCTCTGACCACAGTTTGGTCAGTCTCAAAGTTCAGGTGGGCAAGGATTCCCTGAGCCCTACAGCTACCACAAGGTACCAGGTTTTGCTGCTAAACAAGCGAGAAGTGCCACTGATCAAGGAAAGAAATGTGCACCTGAGCAAAGGATTTTTTCCTTATACATCCACTTTCCCCCTGAATTTTATTATTGTTTAATAATTAATCTAAATGTTCCAGAATAATGTTGTTTAGCAGAGTTAATGGGGGATTTCACCATGTTACTGTATTGTCAAGAATTCAGAAATTTCTCACTGTTTAAATATTACACTTAAAACAAACTGCAGACATATATGAAAAGCAACTTAAGAGCTGTTGGCTGCCACCAAAACTGCTGAAGATCAGAAACTGAACTTCTCCACTGATGTTTTCATTCTTCTCAGTCTCTTTTTCTTTGAAACATTCCTTAGAAGTTGTATGTTAATGCTGTTCAGTGTGCTAACATTGTATCTTCATGTTCTTCTGTTAAATAAAATAAATTTAAAAATCACTCAAGTCAGCCCTGTAATCTAGGTTTAGTTTTTAGGTTAGTTTGTTATTTGAGTACAAGAGGAAATTAGCACATAGCTTGCCTTGACCAGCTGTGAGAATAAAGATTGAAGGAGAAATGCATCTATACACAGCAGAAATCCAGGTCAAGACTAGAATTACAGAGTTTAAGGAAGGAAAAGACTCGGCATATCTGGTTTAACAGCGGGGTAAACAGAAGACAAAGAAGAAGAAGAGTGAAGGTTTCGGTTACTGAGAAGAAAAAACGAAACAGAAGTAGCAGTTGAGAGAAGAGAAACAAGGCCTGTTGAATGTTTGGAGATGGGATGGATCTCTGTGGAAGTGTCAGAACACGTGGAGCCACGCATGGGTGTAGCAGACTTCCTCTAAGCAGGGAGTAGGTCCATGGTAGAACTCTAACTTCTCCATTTCATGTCTGCATGATTTCCTCTGTTTCCCACGTCAGTCTAAAAAAATATGGTCTTTTCTGGTCAAGCAACCAAGGTTTCATTTTTGATTTCAAGAGCTTCTTTCTGTCTTTGAACAGACATAAAACTGTCCTGTCTTTTGTGACTGGATAGATTTTCAGTTTTAGATACTTCTAGGGTAATAACTGCTGACAATTTAAATAATTTAATAATATTAATCCTCTATTGTTAGCTGCTTACAGGAACTGAGCTATGCATAGGCCATAAACAATGGTAAAATAGGGAATACCTGTGTTATGCTTTAATACACTGCTTTTTCTGGGACTACAGGTGAAATCACAGTTCTTGCTGTCTCATTCCTGCCTTGTCAGACATGAATCACAGGTACTGGATTGTAAGAAAATCATACTCCATAGTTAGGGAACATGCAGGATAATCCCTTTGATTTGCCAATCTCTCCCACCCCATGCATCATGAATAATTTACTAACTTCAGCCACTAAATGGTGAACAAGTTTAGCAGAACTTTTCAGATTCTCAGACTACTTTTCTAATTAGTTGATTGCAGATTTACTGAGAGATTTCTCAGGCATTGTCAGGATGGAAGAGGCTGTCTGGCTTCTCTGTTTATTAGAAATCATAATATATAGTTGCCTTAGTCATACCTATTTAGTATGCCTCAAAAGTAGACATTATGCTTTATGTAAATAGAAGTAATATATAATGGATTTCTGTGAAGGAATTTGGCAGATCGTATCACAGGCAGGTTATGACTTACCTTTTAAAACAAAGCTGTTATTTATTTGGTTTGGTGCAAAGAGAAGAGGTTTATTATTATAAATTCAGGAATTTGTTGTTATTATCCTGTTTTGGTACATTCCAGTTTAGAAAGTAGAAGATTTATTAAATAGTTTTGTCTCACTATTTGGTCTAATTGACCTCCAACACCTGTAGTGGCAAGTAAAGGTCTTGTTGCTTTAGTTTACCCCAGAAAATTGATATTACTGTCTATATCAATAGACAGTAATATAAATAGAGTACATATAGATATCTATATCCATTTTAATTTGGAACAGCTGCAGAAAACCACATGTAAGTCAAGGATCTGGCACCAACAGCATAAATTTTTCCTTATCCCAGATTCTTTCCTTTCTGCTTGGCCATGGTACTACTCAGTGTACTTTTCAAACTTCCTATTGTTTTGCTTTTTTCAGAAGTCTGTGTTTCAAAGAATAGCCCCACATAATGCTACCATACCTGGTTCCTCAGGTTCTGCTTGATAAATAAGGTCATAGCCACAGCATCTGAATTCTTTCCTGATACTTATACACAGAATCAACAAGCCTCTTCACGGATCTTCAGATCCCTGAAACTAATTTTTGCTTGACACAGAGCTGGCTAAATCTTTAATAAACTAAAAAGCAATTAGAAAGGAAGCACATAAACCTATTAACTCATGCAGGAAAACAAGATAGCAGTTTTCAGCGAGTTACAGGAAGCATGGAGGGTGCCCAAAACACAAAGGTGGTGCTTTCAAGGTAGGGTGAAGAGGTTGGTCTGGTGAGAACCCACCTGGAATACTGTGTCCACTCTCTGGGGCCCCAACATAAGAAGGATGTGAAGATGATTGAGCAGGTCCAGAGGAGGCCACAAAATGATCAGAGGGGTGGAACACATCTCCTATGAAAACTGGCTGAGAGAGTTGGGGCTGTTCATCCCAGAGAAGAGAATTCTCAGGGAACACCTTAGAGCACTTTCCAGTACATAAAGGGGATGTACAGGAAAGATGGAGAGGGGCTTTTCACAAGGGCAGGTGGGGGTAGGATAAGGATAATGGTAATGGCGTTGAAGTGAAAAAGGAGAGATTTAGATTAGATAGGAGGAGCAACACCCTTTTCTGTGGGGGTGGTGAGGCACTGGCCAGGTAACACAGAGAAGCTGTGGATGCCCCATCCCTGGAAGTATTCAAGACTTGGATGGAGGAGCCTTTAAGTGACGTAGTCTAGTTGAAGCTGTTCCTGCTCATGGCAGGGGTGTTAGGACTTGGTGATATTTGAGATCCCTTCCACACCAAGGCCTTCTATGATTTTATGTTTTGGTTTTGAATTTAGGTTGTTTTCACAAATTCTCATTGATCTTAAACTCTCCAAGATCTTACAACTGTGTGTTTGTGACCACATTTCACAAAAAGGAGCCTTATCTTTACTGAGGAAAGTTTCTCATTTTTCTGAAAGAAAAGCAAGTGCTTATGTTCTGAGTGGAGTTGCAGAGAGAGCACTAGAAGACAAGGATGAGGACCCTAAATACTAAAACCAATTACATTTATCAGTAAATTAGTTTATACTTTAGATGAGTCTAGTATCTAGAAGGCCATCATCCCAATTTCATCAAAATACACATCCATAAAAGTCAGTTATTCAAAAATAAGAAAATAAGAGGATTTTGAACTATTGAGAATTTGAAGTATCTGATATCAGCTCCATAGGAATGAAACCTGTGAGCAAAATGGAAAAAAAAGAATTAGCATTTATCCTTGTGAGTGTTGGGTGGGAGTGGGAATGAATATCAATAGTGCGAGTTCTAAGATACAAAGGGAATTAAATATATTAAGTATGAGTACAAAACAGAACAGCTAGAGCACTTCCAAAAGATAGTGATAATGTTTCATTCTGTTCTCAGTGGTATAAAATGGACTGGTTGTGAAAGGAGAAAGTTTTTTTAGTTCCTATCACTAAAAAGAGAACTGAATACAAAAACCACACTGCAAGTTATCAGACTTTTCTAATTTAATTTCCTGTGAGATATTTCAAGATGCCTAAAGAAGCAAGTGAATCTGAAATTTGGAGACCTTGGCTGGTGGATGCCACCACAGAAATTGCTTCCTTTAAGCCTGTGGAAGACAAGACAGGGTTAGTCACACAAACAGAGGAAATGCCAAAGCTGAGGCCATTAGGCACTGGACAGAACCCTGTATTTACAAAAACTGATGCTCTCACCTGAAGAGAGCCTTGTCCATAGGATGACTGCCATTTGCAGAAGAAAATACAGCAGAGAAAAAATCAGGTCTGCAGCACTCAGCGACAGAAGTGGCTTAAAGCATTGTGCAGACAGGAATAATCTTGAGGGATTTAAAAAGAGATGCTCACCATATATTTAAAGTATATTTCCTCCCAGTCCCTGCCTTGGAAATGTTTCTGTTGGCTCCTTCAATTACACCAGTAGCAGCCAGGAATGAACCTCTGTGCTGGCAAGTTCATCATCCATGGTTCCAGCAGAACAGTGTAATTTCTGCTGCCTTTTTTGCTAGTTGGGAGATCTCTATGCTTCCATTATGCACACTGTTTACAGGAATGAAATGCAATGAATGCCACATGTATGTCTGTTTATAGCCCATACTCTCAGCACATGGCAAAGAGAATATATGCAACCAAGAAAAATGCTCTCATGATAAAATGATCATGATCCTAAGTGCCATCAAACTGTCTACATAGATTCATTCAATAGCTTTCACTGTTTCTTTGTTTCCTCAGTTCAAGGATTTGAGCAATTACTGTAATTGTAAGAATATTTCTACTCTAGAGCATGGATGGGCAATGTAGATAATTAACATATTTTAACCTAACTCTGTGAAAATGGAATATGTGATAGGTTCCAACTGAACTGTTTATCAGAGTCCTGTTAAATTTATCTTTCCATTATGACAAAAATAGGTTGTAGAACAAAAGAACAGGATGGAGGGGAATGTTTAAAATGGAGTGAATAACTTAATTGTTTTTTATTCAACCACCAGTAGCTCCTAGAAATGAAAGACATGAGAAGCCATTTATTTATTTATTTATTTATTTATTTATTTATCCCAAGATTGAGAGAGAAGAGTTTGCTTTAAGTATAATCAATAATAATTTGACCAAAAGTGTAGATGAAAATGAGGAAGTTTACCTATACATTTCAAATCTCATAGACCTGTGTGCTTCAATTGTACATTCTCAATGTACAAAATAGCAGAAATAATTTTAGTAGAAATAAGCATTTTTAAACACATTATATTTAGCTATAAACTTAAAGGCCTCATTAATCAAAAATTTCAAAATTTGGTTCCTTTACATGAGAAGAGGTAAATTCTTAAAAATAAATCCAGGGATTATGTTCTCAGTTCAAAGGAGGATACTGAAAGGGCCAATTAATTTTCTTCTTACTTTTTTTTTTTCATTAAGTATGCTATTAGGCAAGACTGTCAAAACATTGTTAGCCAGCATAAACCAGTTGCTACCCATGAGAGGATAAAGATTAATTAATTCAAAAGTTGTTTTTTAAATCCTCCTGATATTTCAAAATCCTCTTGATTAAAAAATGAATAAATAACAGGTTTTTCCTATTTGAGTATTAGGAATTTTTTTGCTTTACATGTTCAAATTTAACAATTTGAATAAAAATGAGATTGTATTAAAATCTAATTTTATTTTCAAAACTAAAGGTATTTGGTACAACTCAAACCACAAGTTTAAGGAATTTTATAGTCTTTTAACTCCTTCCTTAAAAATGTGGCTTGAATTCTGGCTGGT